TAAAGAAATTAAAAAAACTATTCTAAAATCTAAAAAAACTTGTCTACAGATATAAAAACCTGCTAACCAAGTGAAAAATTATCTATATAGTTGTAAAAATCTATATATAGAGCTATCTAACAAAAAAAAAACTATAAACCAAAATACACTTTAACCTGTACTAAAGACTAAAAATTATATATATATGACTTCAGAATAATGCATATTTCTAATATATTGCTCTAACTTACAACTTTTATTTAAATCTATCTTGAATCCTAGAATGCTGATTGTAAAGCCTCAATATGTGATTGTCAGTTCTATTTATAACAGGCTTCTCTTTTCAAAATCCTCTTATAGTTTTTCTTTTCAAGTCTTGCTTCTTTGTTATATGAGATTAAACAGAGAATTTTCTTTATGGTCTACCAGTATCATTAAAAGCTACTTCCTCGGATCTGTCATATAAAGCATTTATTCCTATACAGTCAATACTGATCCAAATACGAAACTTTCACATACTTTGATTTTATCTAAACAGAACTTCTTCTTTACATGTAATTGTTGTGTTCTTTATTTGTCATATCGTAACTCAAGACTTGCCAAAAATACAGGTCAGTTAAAGCAGAGCGAGGTTTAGAGTTACTTTTTTGATGTGGTTAAAGCTAACAGTTTATATAGATATCAAAAATACAATATATGCAGTATATAGATCATATATTGAATTCGCTTTGCTTTAACCGATCTCCAAAAATAGAAATGGTAAATAATGCTGATCTTTTGGAAAGGAGTAGCCAAATCTTTTACTTTTTGTCAAAAATTATGAAAAAAAAGAGAGCAGCAGAGAAAAAAATAATTTTGCAAGTTTTCTAATCAAGGAGTGTTGTTTTAAGAGTTCTTTATAGCCTTCTGTTTCCAAAATAACTTGAACCTTCTTTCTACTTATTGTTCCCAAAGACTTCTCTGGTTTGGATGCTGAATACAAAAGGAAGTCCACCTGTAACAAAAAGAAGAAAACAAGTTTGACCCCTTTATAAACCATCCAAAATGCCTGCTTTTCAGTATATCACATTTAAGACTTCATTATAACAGTTTGTATTAAAAAAACTTCAAGTTATTTGTTCACTTCTGATCTTGAGTCTTCAACTTGCTTTTGGGTACTGGTTGGTACAAGTGATTATCAGAGAGAGTTGCATTTTTTTCTCAAAATTATTGCTTTTATTTTGATATTTTTGATTTATACTTGAGTAAATTTATTTATTTTTGATTTTTATTTAATTATTCTCTTGTATTTTTATTTAGTTTTTAGACTTTTCTTTTAGTTTTATTATTTAAACACATTTCTTAACCACTCTTATATGTTAAGTCAAGTAATATATTTGTTTGACTTAACTGACAACAACATATTTATTAGTATTATATTTAGAATTAGATTAAACCAAGCACCTATATTACAATATTATTATTCAACTTTTTTATAATAATTTTATCTAAATACTTATCTATTTATACTTATATATCTTTTATATAACTAACTTTTCTATCTATTTATACCATCTAATACTTTACTCGTTATAGTTTCAACAATATATTTATACAATTTAAGTATGTACCTGGATTTGTATTAATATAACAAATCTAGAACAATAATATTAATAAAACTACTACGTAGTAAAACTATTAAAGTTAAAAATACTATATGTACTGTATATTACGTATTGTATTTTGTACTTTGTTTGATTTTATTAAACAAATTAAATATAAAAACGCAAATATCTGATATATTAATTCGTTAATTCGGTATGAAAAGTTATTAATAAACATACCGGAATAATTTCCTAATTTGGGGTCGGCTAAAGCGAAGTTAATTCAACATATGATCTACACACTGCATAAATTACATTCTTGATACCTAGATAATCCACTAACCATAACTGAATCAAAAAGGTAACCCTAAACTTCACGCCGCGTTAGCCATTCCCACGGTCTCTCCCGAATCCACGAGTAAATCATTTAGCGTTAGTAGCTGTGAATAATAAAAAGCCGGACCAATAGAAATGTTGAAAGTTCGATTCAATCCGATTAAAGATCTAAGAGTTTAACTCGTATCGGTAAAATAGTTAAAACAATTGACGAATTTGATTTTTTTTTTTTTTTTTTAATGAATAAATTTCTTATCTGTAATTTAGTATAAAAACTAAAAGCCACAGGATATCGTTATGTCAATTATATACGTATAATATATATATATTTATTATATATATATTTATTAATTTGATTTATTGAATTAGAGATTAATCAATATCCCTACGGGTCGAGAAGTAATTCGAAGGTTAAAGAAGTAAAATATACGATTCTTTTATCAAAGCACTTTTTTGTTTTTTTTTGTCTTTTTTTATCTTATATTGACAAGTGAAACTAAGTATTAACTTTAAAATTGAGTACGAATGGTAAATCTATTCGTAAGGCATCGAAAACTACTTTATTAAACGTCAAAAATTTAACAAGAACAAGCATTATGGGCTACTGGACGATTCAAGTCAACGCCTCTTTGATTCAAATTGGTTCCTCGTGCACGTGTATTAGCAGCTAATTGATCAAGCGGCATTTTTCTCGCTATGTAATTATTTCAGAATATTAAAAAGCGTAATTAAAATAAATTGCAAAGAATTATTAGAAAAAAAAAAATTTAGAATATAGAATTTAGACAAACCTATTGATGTAAATAGTTCATTGACATTAGCAGATGTTTTTGCAGACGTTTCGAAAAACAAAAGGCCAGTATCTGCCGCATAATTTTGTGCCGTCTAATATACAAACATGATATTAAATTAACTGGTTTTAATTGTACATTATAAATTCTAGCATATTTTATGTTACCTCAGTATCAATTACTCTACGTGCGCTCAGATCACTTTTATTACCGGCGAGTGCAATGACAATATTTGGGTCGGCCTGTCTTTGCAATTCTTTCACCCAAGATTTAGCTTTTTCCAAAGATGACTAAATCCACAGAAATAATAATAATAATAATAAAATAATAAATAAATAAATAATACGATTAATTTACTATATAAAAGAATAAGAATACATACAGGTTGAGTTATGTCATAAACTACTACGGCACAATTTGCATTTCTGTAATACATTGGAGCCAAGCTCTGTTTCACATAAAAATATGATTATAGTAAGTCCAGAGAAAAAGGTCACGATATCAACTTTAGAACCAGAACCAGAAAAATAATGTATTAATGAAATAACCTTATAACGCTCTTGCCCTGCTGTATCCCTAATAATGAGACATAATATTTATAATATATGGAAAAGATGCTGAATCAATAATCACGAATATATATGCAACGCACCAGATTTCGAATTTAACGGTTGTATTATCATCCAGAGCAACTGTCTGTGTTAGAAATGCAGCTATGTAATAAATAACAGAATAATAGATTAATTATTTTTTCCAGTGTCAACGAAAAGAGAATAATAAAAGTCTTTACCTCCGATAGTACTTTCTC